TTTTAAAATTTAGTTTAAGATTTTCTTCGTATTGCTCTTTGAATTTTAATATGTAAGTTGTTCATTCATAAATCTATATACTTGTCTCATGTTTTTTTTGGGACACAGTTAATATAATCTTTCTTATATTTTAACTATATATAAACAATTTTAATATTTTAATTTATATTTATTTACAGAAAACTATAATTATTAAAAACAAATAGCAAATTGCACAAAAACTAAAAAAGAATTTCTTAGAATTTCTGCTCTTCACTGGCAAGGAACAGAATGTATAAATTCGCTCTTGATCAATTTTTCTCGAATAATGCTATCTCGTAACAAATTTTTCTGGTTTTGCGAGCATAATAAAGATTCAATAAAGAAGAAAAAAGAAAAAAAAGGAAAAGATCATCGTCAATCAGTATAAAAAAATTAAGTAAGCTATTTCGAGGACCATCAATAATTAATTCACGTTTTCATCACATTTTTATTAAGTATATCTGTAAATTAATAATAAAGTAGTAAATGTTTTTGAACGCAAATTTAAGATCAATTTTTTGTAACTTACGTAATTTATAAATTAAGAATAAAATCAAGTTTATTAAATAAATATGTATCTATGTATAATATGTATATAGCATAATAATAAATTAAATATACAAATTGTCGATATATTATTTAAAAGATACAAAAAAGAATAAAAGTTTAAACATATTTATACATATATTTGTAAATACGTAAATAATAAAAAGTTGCTTCAATTAGCGCAGGAAAATTATCGGCTCGCAAGCATGCCCCTCAATGCATCCATCTAAAAACCTTGTCTTCCTAAAAGCAAGACAGCCATACATCCATAACAACAAGAAGCAAATTGCACACTAATTGTAAGTAGAATATATGCAGCCCTATCAATCGAATCTCCAAGAGATGCAAGAGCCTCTAAATGAGTAGCAAATAGAGAGGTTTTTTTTCGAGGATGAAAGCGGACACCGAGGAAGCCAATCCAGAGATTGATCGCTCTTAAAAGCATTATCGAGCAAAGGATGGGATTTGCTGAGGGAATCCTGATATATTTTTCATGACAGAGAAGCGCGCGATCCAGACACTTGATACATCTCACATAAACTCTTCTACATACACACACACACACGTATTTATACACGCGCGCGCGCGCGCGCGCGTGTGTGTGTGTATGATATATCATTATCTTTATCATCATTATCGTTATTATCATAATCATCAGTTTTACAATTGTACTGCCAACATGGTTTCATTACCTTTTTCCGCACCTGTATACGGTCGCCGTATATGAGCACCACTCTGTCCTTGCTCTCGTTCGAGGTAAGTTGATAGGACAAACTCTACATGATTTTCAATTGATCGATTAGACATTAACGCCGTTATCGATCATGTTATTCATCGCCGCCAAAATTCATATGGTTTTTTTTTTAATCGAAGTTTTCGTCGACATCGTCGTCGTCATCGTCGTCATCATCGTCATCGATGGCGGTTTCATCCACCATGGTCCAAAGACGTTGATGAAGATGGAAGGATGATGAGACAGCGCCAAACGATGTCGAAGGATCCAAACGCAGCGTCATGATCGTCGTCGTGTTGTCATCGTCGTCGTCGTCGTCGTCGTCGATGTCGTAGGGGGTCGATGATGGCACGGAAATGATGAAATAGAAGAATTTGATTGATTGACTTTGAGGATTTCGCGCGACTGTGTGTGTCTTTGCTTGTGTTGTTTGTGGGATTTTTCGATTATTTTCTTAGGTCGCGCGAACGATTGGCGAGTCGGAAGAGTCGATTAAAGATATACGTATTATTTTCACTCTATATATATGATATATATCTTTTACACTGCTTCTCTCTCGCTCTCTCTCGCTCGCTCTCTCTCTCTCTCTCTCTCGCTCTCTCCCTCCCTCTCTCTCTCTCTCTCTCTCTCTCTTTCTTTTCAATTTCTCGCCCGATTACTCACACGTATATATTCGCCGCTTTCTCTGTTTCTCGTTCTCTCTCCCTTCTCTCTGTTGGAGAGAAAAATGTATTTATATACATAAATCTTTTACCTTCACTTCGGTTATTCTAAATTGCATCTGCTTTACATCGATAGACGAGCGTGTTTCAACTCTCGTTCGTAAAGTTCCGGATTTCTAGCGCGTTACACATATTAACTTTGTGTCGATGCATGCATTCTCTAATGCATTTCTCGACTGTAATCGCTCATGCGTTGTGCGACACGATAGAGTGTCATATTTTCATTTATTACTTGTTTATTCGCTATTTTTTTTCTCTGTTCGGTCCGGTTCAGATTTAGAGTCGTTTACAGTGTGCGAGGGGTTTTTTCAAAACGAGGCCTCGACGAGGTAAGTGCCATCCATGGCGACCCCCGTCTGCCCACCCTGGGCCCCGGATACTTGGGCCCTTGTAGCCGGGATGTACTGACTGTACGCCTGCTGAAATCCACAACCACAAGCACACACTACATTGTTGCACGCTAGGTACGCCTACGCTAATGCTTTCTACGAATTTCTCCCCTAAACCTCCATCTACTCTCACGATCGATGTATGTGTGTGTGTGGATGGATGTGGTAATGAAGCTTTAATAATAAAAATCTACCGCGCCATGTTTTTCCCTGCAATACTATATATTTCTTAAATTTTATTCGCACCGTGAACTTTTCGTATAAAATAACTTTTATTTAGATAAAAAGCAATTAGAAATGTTTTACGTTGAGCTAATATAAATTATTGATATCACATATAAGCCGAACTGTTCATTTTAATTGTTACTTTCTGGTAAAATACAGGTATAAATATGCAAAAAATAAATAATATAATAAATAATATAATAAATAATATAATAAATATAATAAAATATAATAAATAATAAATAACACAAAAATAT